AACCAGGGCTATCTACTGTCTGGCTCCAAAGTGCCCTCTCCGATTACATGGAGCCCAGACAGCCCCGCAGTTTTCTCCAGGGCTGAGGGCAATGAAACAATCACTGAGACAGCTAGAGCGCCGGTGGTGGAAAACTCATTCTGAATCGCAGGGGACACAGGTTAGAACTCAACATCAAGACTACCAAGTGTTGATAGCGATGGCAAAGGGGACCTTCTTCACCACCTTTATTGCATCTGCAGAAAACAGCAACAGAAGACTCTTTCAGGTGGTTTGCAATTTAATGGAACCACCTTCACCATCGGGGCCTGGTAAGGACTCCAAGATCTCCTGCAATGATTTTGCAAAGTTTTTTTGCAGATAAAGTCACTCAGATTCAGAAAGAGGTAGACTCCACCATGGGCGCAGGGCCAGGGCAGGAGAGTGCTAGAGTTCTGTCTAGACGAGTTGCATGGGATCAATTCCAATCTGTTACCTCCGAGGATGTGGACAGGCTGCTTGGATGAGTGAAACCAACCACCTGTCTCCTTGATCCTCCCCCATCCTGGCTCACAAAAGCGAACAGGGAAGGTCTGAGCGATGGACTGCGGGGTGGTGAATGCTTCCCTGTGTGAGGGATCCTTCCCAGGCCCACTGAAAGAGGCAGTCATTAAAAAAAACATCTTTGGACCCAGCCAATATGGCCAACTATCACCCAGTCTCAAATCTTCCATTCTTGGGCAATGTGATTGAGTGGGTGATTGCTGAACAACTCCAGGTCTGGAGGATGCGGACCATTTGGATCCCTTCCAATCGAGATTCAGGCCTCATCATGGGACTGAAACTGCCTTGGTCACACTGGTCAATGATCTCAGGTGGGCTAGGGACAAGGGTGAAAGCTGTTTCCTAGTTCTGCTGGATCTCTCAGCAGCCTTTGATACCATCAACCATAACATCCTTCTGGACCGTCTAAAGCATGGGTCAGCAAACTTTTTCAGCAGGGGGGCGGTCCACTATCCCTCAGACCTTGTGGGGGGCCAGACTATATATTTTTTAAAAAATAATGAACGAATTCCTATGCCCCACAAATAATCCAGAGATGCATTTTAAAAAACAGCACACATTCTACTCATGTAAAAAACATGCTGATTCCCGGACCATCAGTGGGCTGGATTTAGAAGGCGATCGGGCCAGATCCGACCCAGGGGCCTTAGTTTGTCTACCCATGGTCTAGAGGGGCTGGGAGCTGGGGGCACTGTTATACAGTGGTTCTGCTCCTTCCTCCTGGGCCGTGTCCAGAAATTGGGGGGGGGATGAGTGTTCAGACCCTTGGACTCTCACTTGTGGGGTGCCTCAGGGTTCTGTCCTCTCCCCCGTGCTTTTCCACATCTACATGCAGCCGCTGGGGGTTTGGGCTGGGTGTTCATCAGTATGCAGATGATACCCAGCTCTACCTCTCTTTTAAATCAGAACCAGTGAAGGTGGTGAAGGTCCTGTGTGTCTGGAGATGGTTGGAGGATGGATGGTGGCTAACAGATTGAGGTTGAATCTTGACAAGACAGAAGTCCTGTTCTTGGGGGACAGGGTTGGGCAGGTGTGGGGGACTCCCTGGTCCTGAATGGGGTAACTGTGCCACTGAAGGACCAGGTGCGCAGCCTTGGAGTCATTTTGGACTCACAGATGTCCATGGAGGCGCAGGTCAATTCTGTGTCCAGGGCAGCTGTCTACCAGCTTCATCTGGTACACTGGCTGAGACCCTACCTGCCCGCAGACTGTCTTGCCAGAGTGGTGCATGCTCTAGTTATCTCCCGCTTCGACTACTGCAATGCACTCTACGTGGGGCTACCTCTGAAGGTGACCCAGAAACTACAACTAACCCAGAATGCGGCGGCTAGACTAGTGACTGGGAGTGGCTGCCGAGACCATATAACACTGGTCCTAAAGGATTTACATTGATTCCCAGTACGTTTCCAAGCACAGTTCAAAGTGTTGGTGCTGACCTTTAAAGCCCTAAATAGCCTCAGTCCAGTATACCTCAAGGAGCGTCTCCACCCCATCATTCAGCCCAGACAGTGAGGTCCAGCTCCGAGGGCCTTCTGGCAGTTTCCTCACTGTGAGAAGTGAAGCTACAGGGAACCAGGCAGAAAGCCTTCTCGGTAGTGGCGCCTGTCCTGTGGAACGCCCTCCTGCCAGATGTCAAGGAAATAAACAACTACCAGACTTTTAGAAAACATCTGAAGGCAGCCCTGCTTTGGGAAGTTTTTAACGGTTGATGTTTTATCATGTTTTTAATATTCTATTGGGAGCTGCCCACTATTATTTTCTGTTGATCCACGTTTACTTGTGGCTGTACCCAGTGCTTTAAAAAATGTTTAGGCATGCTCTCATTTTCCAACTCATATTGAAATAGTGCCCCTCAATGAGGGCAAACTTAGATTCACAAAATGTTTAGGGGAATGCGTACCCCCGCGTCTCCCCAGAAAAAAAGCACTGGCTATACCTTTGTAATACCTTTGTAATTGGGTTGTATATACACTTGTGGATATATGATAACATTCAATAAAAAGTTAATGCTTTTTTAAAAGAAGAAGGGAAGAAGACCCTGGCTGCCAGATTAGGCAAAGGCCCGTCTCATCCAGCTTCCTGTCTACGCAGTGGCAAACCTGGTGCCCACACCCTCCAACATTTCTCAGATGAAAATAGAGATATCCTTTTCTACACCAGGAAGCTTCTCCTGTGTTTTATCTCCTGCACACATAGATGCCATATACACATCTACATTGGTCACCTTGAGCCAATGGCATCCTCTCTGCCAAACCTACAGTACCTCACAGGATTGTTGTAAAGAAAAAATGTGTGAGTGAAGGGATCGTGTACATGCTCCACAGATAAATGGAATAAAATTTTAGCTGTAAGCTGCCTTGAGTCCCTGTCAGGGAAAAAGAGGAGGAGGAGGAGGAGGAGGAGAGAAACTGTGAGAATGATCAGAAATAAATGTTGAGTAAATGCTATTGAATTCAGTGGGACTTACTTCTGAGTAAAAATGCTTAGGATTGCAATGTAAGGTTGGCCAATCTTGACCCAGTTACCTAGGAGTAAGCGCCATTGAATACAGTGGGACTTACTTCTGAGTAGACAGTGTAAGGCTCCATTTACAATAAAGGAATAAGCACTCTGAGCATTTCCTAAGAAATGGCTGACTGCTGAAGCATTGCAATTAACTAATTTAAAGTGGATTGGGGACCTTTTCCTTCAAAGTTATAGGAAGGGCTTCATATGCCAGGCGCACCAGGAGTACAGATGCAAGGGGAAAGGGCATTTTTGTCCCATCTGTTCACTGGAGGAGCAAGAGGCATCAATTTCTATTGAAGCCAGAACACCAGGAAAGGAAGATCAGCCTGGTCCAAACAGGTCATAAATGCCCAGTTATAAGCTTCCTCCTCCTCCTTCTCCTCCAGCAAGCTTTTCGGAAAATGTGTAAGGAGCCAGCAATCCACAGAAGTGCACCAGACACCCTCATTATGTAGCTTCCAGAGGATGCTGAAGATATACCTCTTGACTGTGGCTCTGGATGCTTGAGGTGTATATTTTTAGGACCTACCTTATTTTTAGGATTGCAAATTGTTTTAAACTGTGTTTAATATTCTGTTTTAACATTGTAACCTGCCGTGGGACCTTAAGGCAAAAGGCAGCTAATAAACAAGCAAGCAAGCAAGCAGGCAAGCAACACAGGAGTAGTCCACATGATATCCTCCAAGTGTCATTTGACTACAACTCCCATCAGCTCCAACCAGCGTGGCCAATGGACAGGCATGATGGAAGTGACAGTCCAACAAAATCTGGAGAGCACCACATTGGCTACCCCCAAGAAAATGATGAAATCAGAAACCAGGTTCAATTCTGGCAGAAAGGTGGAAACTTGGGCCTAAAAGGTTTGAGGACGGAGCTGTGATGGCATAGATAAAGGCTCACTGGCCCATGAGGATAGAGCCCTTCCATAGCATGAAAAGAGATGGCTGCTAGCTCTGAGGGGACAGAATGGAAAACCAACTGAAGAAAAACCAAGTTCATGCAGAGCTTATAGTGGCAGCAGTAAGTGGAAGGAAATGGAAAACTCAGGATTCCAGACAAGTGCATTGGGGGAAAGGCTACTGAATATAAGAGAGAACAAATAGTTAAAGAAAGGGGTGGGAGGAAGACTGCTTTAAAAAGAGAGAAACATTAAAACCGATGTGACCACTCAGTGGCATTTCACAGAAAGAGCACTGGCATAAAATTGCAACATTTCTGCTCTAAAAAGGAATCGGGGCGATTGGCGAGTATGGGAACAGAACCAGCCCCTGGTTTCTCAGGCCTCACACAGTCCCTAGAGGCCCTGTGGCTTTGCCTGTGCCAACCCCAAGGTGGATGCTTTTAAAAACCTGTCACACATGGTTCACTTTAAAGCAGAGGGTCTGGCTGTCAGGCCTCTTGGTGCAGTAAATCAATCTTTCCCCCTCCCAAGAAGGAAGGTTCCCATGACTGCCCTTCCACCCAGCGCTACCAGACCCTTTGCATACACCATAAAGGCAAATGTCTTTCCTGTTTTCACAAGTTGCAACCAGCTGATGAGAGACCCTGAGAGGCCACATCTGCATTTCAGATGCAAAGCAGATAAGATAAAATCAAAGCCAGGGCATCACACAGGGCTGCAGGAGATGGATACAGAGAGAGCTCAGGCTTCTGTTTTCAGCCATACTTTCACTAAGTAAGATGCAAAATACAAGCATGTGGATACATCTATTTGTGTGTACAAATTGTATGCAATTTAAATGGGCTTTGTATATAATTTAAATCAGTAGGCAATGGGTCAGTATGTATTTATCTCACAACATTTATAGACCACTTGAGTGTAAAAGAAAATGGACTTAAAGACTGAGTGCATTTGAAACTATGGAACAAAGCCAGGCTGGTCGATCCCCATCTATCCCTCTTCTGACCTCCTAACATCAAGTTTTTAGTTTAAATGAAACATGACTTACCTAAGTAATTGTTGCTCTTGGACATTTCTGTAATGTTGATTTTTGTGGCCCCCTCTGGGATTTCTACTATCTTGTGGTAGCCAAGGTTGGTCAGGGTGTGCTTGAAGACCCCTGAGACCACTTGACAAGCTGTGTTGTCCCCTCCGCATATCCCACATTTGTCGACCACTTTGTCTGAGCCCAGATAGTCATCACAGCCAATGCTCTGTCAAGAAGAGACAAAAAGTGTAAATCAGTTACAAGGATAACTGAAAAGCTTCTATGCAATGCCTTGGCATTTGGTTTTAAAAAAAAAAATCAGCAAAACTAATAGGGAGTTCTCACAGATCACTGGAAGAACACATGCTTGGCTTGCAGAATTTCCAGGATCTCCACTCATGCAAAGCAGGTAGTGGAACTGGAGCAGGAAAACCACACCTGAGGAACAACAATAGGCAGCACAGGGCTAGATAGTGCAAGGGTCTGGATGAGGACAAGGCAGCTTCTTATGCCCCTTCTTATGCCTCCTTATCGAAAGGGCCACATGGGTTTGAGTAGGGGTGGGCATCCTTTTTTCTGTGTAGGGCTGTACTCTCTTGAGAGCAATCTGTTGAGGGCCATGCATTGGTGGTGGGAAGAACCAGAGATTATTATGGATGATCCAGTCTGTGGCCCCTGAGTCTGAGCTGTGTAGGCCTCTTGTTAGTTTCAAGAGAATCAAGGTGGGAGAGGGCAGCAACTAACTAGCATAGTGCTACCATGAGTAGAGGCAGCTATGCATACAGAATACTATACAATTGGACTTTTTAATGGCACTACATGAGTGAGGCTTCTCAGGTCCGGGCAATAAATGGCATGAGGAAATCATCTGCTTTCTTCACCTGTGATGGGTTTAGACCATGTTCGCCCAACCACCTTGATTTGTGGAACCAACACTTGCCAATAGATATTACTTATCACAGCAGATATGACTGTGAATTAATGCAGGACAAATAAAAAAATGTAGCAGGTAGACCAAAGCTGTCTGCAGTCAAGAACCAAAAAGTGGAGGGAGTGGGAATTCTTTAGAGAGAAGCATGGGAAGATGTTTGCCACCAATGGTCTATCTGACTGGAAGTGCTCCCCGTGGTTTTAGGCAGGGCTCTGCTCCAGTCTGGAGATGCCAACGACTGAACATGGGAACTTCTGCATGCAAAGCAGGTGCTCCCCCCGAACCACAGTCCTTCCATTCTCATTGCACTGGATTAAGGGAATGACTAGGACAGCGGGTTGTTCCCAATATTAGCCCCATTCAGAGAAGGCACACTGACATCACTGGGAATTAAAATCATTCATTTCAATGGATTTACTCTGACCAAAAGTAGCATTGGCTAAAACCTACATTCCCTCAAAACATGATCAAGAGGAAACCCCAATAAAGATTTCAACCTCTTGTCACTTTAGAAACAGCTGAGTTCTTGTTTGGAGCAACTGGCTTTAAATATTTTTAATGTACGGTACATACAGCTGGAGAAAGAGAGAATACTATGGCAATATAGAAACTATGTATGCATGAGAAAAATAATATTCTTATAATAATTTATTGCATCTTGATATTTACATAGCTTATTCTGGGCACAATGTGAGGTGTTGGCACTGACTTAGAAAACTCAGTGTAATTATTGCCCTAGTCTTCCAAGAAGGCTTCCCTCATTGTGATGTGTGTCCCAGCACAACCTCTGTCATTAGCCAATAGTTACCTCCGAACTGTGCTATGAGTCAAATCTATTCAATGAAGGCAAACAGGGAGACCCTGCTGTTGTTCACCATCCCTCTCCCTGCCTCACTCTCAGAATGGCCAAGGGGTCTTTCCTCCAAGTGGAGCACTCTGAGCCTGGTGGAAAGTGACTACACCGTGCATTGATAAAGTGGTACAAAATGCTCTTTAAACATGGGGGGAAATTAAAGAACCAGGTAATGGTAAATGTTTTCTCTAAGCTTTTCTAGTCATGGCTGCAAACTGCAATGGCACCAAATAAGAACATAAGAACAGCCTTCAGGATCAGACCAATGGCCCATCTAGACCAGCATCCTGTGCTCACAGCAGCTAGTCAGATGCCCTGTTGGAAACCCCCAAGCAGCACTCAAGCACAAGAGCCCTCTCCCCTCCCGCAGTTTCCAGCAAATGGTATTTAAAAGCATCATTGTCTCTGCTTGACACCCTGCCTAGTAGCCATTGAAAGCCTTCTCCTCTTTTAATTTGTCCAACCCTCTTTTAAAGCCATCCAAGGCAGCCTTAATCGAGTGCTATAGTTAACTCTGCTCTGGTCCACGGGGTCACGAAGAATCGGACACGACTAAACGTCTAAACAACAACAACAATAGTTAACTATGCACTACATGAAACAGTCCTTTCTTTACCTTCATCTATTTCCCTCAGCATCATTGGACATCCATGAATTCTAGAGTTATGGGCAGGAAAGAAAAAACTTTCTCTACTTTCTCCTTGCCATGCATAATTTTAACAACTTCTATGATCTCACCTCTTAGATGCTCTCTCAGCTACCTCACATAAAATACCTCATTCTGAGGAGTGACCCCTTGATCTTTGGACTCAGGGCTGAAAGGAATCATAGAATCATAGAATTGGAAGGGACCCCAAGGGTCATCTAGCCCAACCCCCTGCAATGCAGGAATCACAACTAAACAGTCTCTGAAAGATGGCCATCCAACCTCTGCTTAAAAATCTCCAAGGAAGGAGAGGCCACCATCTTCCTAGCATAGCCGGCATCTATGCAGGCCGTGGGGTCCCAGGCACCCACACATTTTCAGTGAAAGGCACCCCTGATATTCTATTTGGCCATGCATACATGGCACACAGCATGCACACATGACATTGGCATGGCCATACGATGTGACCTCAGTATGCCCTGGGCACCCACTGTTGCTGGGGCAAGGTGCCCCTGAATGCAAGAGAAGAATCTGTGGTTTATCAACCACCACCACAACCTGGGCCCCAAAACCTGGGGACAAAACAAGGCTGCAAACCCCACATATACTAAGGACCCTCTGTGTTTCACCGGCTTTCAGGGATGTAGCACATTGATATACCCTTTATGCAACCCAATGGAATTATGATTGGAGGAAATGGCTCAACTAACACTGGGCAACAATTTTTTTTACTTTTTGAATGTTGTCTAGATTTCTACAACTGCTTTAGGGTATTTTTGCACTGCCGAATCAGGAAATGGCATCCGTTTCTCTCCATCAGGTCAGGTTTTTGTGCTATGTTGATTTGAAAAAAATCAGATCTTGTGACAAAATCGATTACATTTTTGTGGCATTATCAACTGATTTTTGTCAACACATATCATCCTAAATATATTTTTAAGAGAAAAGAATGTTTTTCCAACAACATATATTGATTACCTGATAGAAACATTGATTACTGTAAACTGAATGGTGGGCATTGATAAAGGTAAGTACATGTAAATTGCATGTTGCTTCGCCATTTTTCAAACTTCAGGGCTTGAACTTCCGTTTCTTGGAACTCCTGGAATGCTCAGCGGCAGGGAGGTCTCTCTTCAGAGTCCAACAGTAGTCAGCCATCATGACTGCGTCCCAGCGACGCTGATACCTGGTCTCCATCTCTTTCATGTCCTGATGGAATCTCTCCCCCTGCTTGTCACTCATTGAACCCACATTCTCAGGAATCCGGTCCATATGTGAAAATAGGTAGTGCATCTTGACGCTCATGTTGCAGCCCAGGTTTCTGAAAGCAGTCAGCATGTTGTTGACAAGTTCTGCGTAGTTTCTGGCCTTATTGTTGCCAAGAAAGCTCTTCACTACCAGAACAAATGCCTTCCACGCTTCCAGTTCCACTTCGTTCACTGAGTTTCCAAACTCTGGATCTCTGAAGAGCTGACGGATCTGAGGACCGTGAAAGATGCCAGCTTTCAACTTCTCCATGGTCAATCCTGGAAAAGCCTGGCACAAGTGAAGCAGTCACCATCCTTGTCCAGAGCTTTGGTGAACTGCTTGATTGAGCCAAGCTTGATGTGCAGCGGTGGGAAGAGTATTCTGTCTCTGTCCACCAGAGGGTCGTTGATGACGTTCCTTTCTTTGCTAGGCACCAATTCCTCCCGCACAGGCCAGTCCTTCTTCGTGTAATGCTGAGCACGGTCCCTACTATCCCACATGCACAGAAAACATGGGTACTTGGTGAAGCCAGACTGTTGTCCCAACAAAAAGTTTACCATCTTCAGGTCAACACAAATAAACCACTTATGCTGATCATAACCAATTTTCTCCAGCACATACTTCACCGCTTCATAGTTCTCCTTCAGTGTAGTCGAGTGAGCCAGGGGTACAGAGGCAAACTGGTTGCCGTTGTGTAGCAGAACACATTTCAGTGATCGCTTGCTGCTGTCAATGAACAGTCTCCAATCTTTGGGTTTGTACTGTGGCACTCCAAGCTTGAGCAGAAGCTGTGCAATATCTGCACAGTACACCAAGTCCTTCTCTTCCGAGAAAAAACGGAGGTACTCTTGATGCCTGTTGCGGAAGAAGCTGATGCGAGCACTGTCAGAGAGGAGGTTTTTTTCCTTCAATCTGGATGCCAACAGTTCGGCAGAGTCCTTTGACAACTTCTTCTAAAATGCTCCACACAAGGGTAAAAAAGGTAAAGGTACCCCTGCCCGTACAGGCCAGTCTTGACAGACTCTAGGGTTGTGCGCTCATCTCACTCTAGAGGCCGGGAGCCAGCACTGTCCGCAGACACTTCCGGGTCATGTGGCCAGTGTGACAAGCTGCATCTGGTGAGCCAGCGCAGCACACAGAACGCCGTTTACCTTCCTGCTAGTAAGCGGTCCCTATTTATCTACTTGCACCTGAGGGTGCTTTCGAACTGCCAGGTTGGCAGGCGCTGGGACCGAGCAACGGGAGCGCACCCTGCCGCGGGGATTCGAACCACCGACCATGCGATCGGCAAGTCCTAGGCACTGAGGCTTTAACCCACAGTGCCACCCGCCACACCGCCACCACACAAGGGTACATGTGAACAAAAACATAAAAAAGACATGTGACCATAACTCAAAAACTTGACCTGATTGAGCAAAACCAATGTGATTTTTGGATTCAGCGCATCAGATTCGTCCTAAATCAGCTGAAAAAACGCAGACAGCAAATTTGTTGTTGACCAGTGTAATTTACAAACTGATTTGACCCAAGCCTTGAGTTTTTCACCCA